TAATGCCATAAAACAAAATCATTTATTAGTTCACAGTCATGTGGGTCAGCAGTTAAACTTGGCACAGCTGAATGGTTCTTCTATTGATTTACCCGGGCTTACTCATGTGGCTGTAGTCAGCTGGCTGCTCAGCAGGAGCTGGATAATCTCATATGTCTGGCGGTTGACAGGCTGGTGGGCTGAGATACCGTGGTTCTTGGTTCTCTATGTGGCGTCTTTAGCAGGCAAGCTCACTTTATTTACATGGTGGCCTCAAGGTTTCCTGCACAGAAAGAAAGAAAGCCAGCCCCCAAACCCAAATGCCTTTTAAACTTCTGCAACATGTTTGCTGATGTCCCATTAAATAAAGCATGTCATACGGCCAAGCCTAGAGTTAGTTTAGGAGGAGAATGCATAAAGGGTAGAAACAGGGAGGCAGGATTCACTGGGGGCCATCAATTTAACAATCTACCAGTCAGATAGGATGCTCTGGGCTGCAAGCAACAGGAAATGCCACTTAGACTCTTCTAAACAGTAAGTAACTTAGCTCACATAAAAGGAAGTCCAGAGCCAGGACACACTTCGGGGTTGGTCCTCTGCCATGATAAGCTTGTCTAGGACTGGGGTTCTTTCATTCCTCCGCTATACTCTGCTCTCTACAGTCAGCCTCATCCAGGCTGGTTCCTCTCAGAGTCATAGGATGTTTACTAAGAGCAATTTTGTTTAATTCTCACAACAACCCTAAAAGGTAAGGTCTATTATAATAATATCCATTTTATGGAAAATTGAGACACAGAGATCTTAAGTTACTGATGCAAAGTCACAAGAGAAGGAGGGCTGTTTTTGAACACAGTTTGTCTCCAGAGTGTGCTTTTAGCCACTGAGTAGTTCTCAAACTTGACTGTGAATCAGAATCAACTGGAAGGCTTGTTAAACCAGATTGCTGGGCCTAACCCCCACAATTTCTGATTCATTGGCCCTGGGATGAGGCCTGAGAATTTGTATTTTTAACAAGTTCCCGAGGGATTCTGGTGTTGTGGGTTCAGGGACCACACTTAAAGCCAGTGCACTAAGCTGTGCTGCCTCTGTTGGGTCATCTGTGCCTATATTTATGAGCATCAGGAAAAGCATTGGCTTCCTATTACTCCCATCTTAAAAATGAAGTTGTCTTCTGCTAGAATCCTACAGCAGGCTTCTTGTGGCTTGTTAGTTAACATTGGCCATAGATCCATTCTTCAGCTGGCAAGGGGATGGATTACTTTTACACCTGTCAGGCCTCCCCTTGACTTGACTTTAATTCCCCACGCTGTGTTGCTATCTGGTGGGAGAGGTTTGGAATGGATCATGGGGAGTTATCCATTTAGTGTTTACCATACCCCCTACATGCATGGTTCTCAGACGTGCATTTTTCCAGGGCTGCGGGAATACCAATTGTGTCAAACTTGTTGAAATAACATAGGTTGGTCTCTAATGTAGCTCCTTTATCAGGGATTTTAAGGGGTGTGTGTGTGCGCGCATGTGTGCGTGTGCGTGTGGGTTCATTCTGAGAAGGGTTGTAAAATCAAATCACCACATGGACTAGGCAGATACCTGAATGAGTGAATAGTCTTTTTCTCTTCAACACTTAATTATGAACAGTTTCAGACATACAGAAAAAATACAAAGACTTGTACATTGACACTCATACTCTCCACCTAGATTCAACAATGGATATTTTGCTACATGTGCTTTACGACCTGTCTATCCGCATGTCTACTCCTCTACCATTAGTTTAAGGGCAGTACTCAGATATTGCCTTAAATGCACAGTAGAGCGTAGAGTTTTATGTTCCTTTGGCCTTTCAAACCCTTTGTGGGCTGCGCAACCTGCCTGCTGTCTTTTCCAACTAGCCATTTTTCATTCCTTATTCCTTCCCATCCCACGTGCCTTGTCTGGATTGCCTAGCCCTCTTCTCTCTCCTCGATCCTTCTAAGTCCTGCCTGCCCTTTAAGACTAAGATCATACCTCCCTCTCATGAAACCTGCCCTGATCTCTCTATCCTACCATAACCTCTCCTTCTTGAGATCCTCCTGACCCAGTGAGTCACAGCCATGACTATACTTAGGAGCCTTTAAAAGTATGAAAGCCCTATCCCCAGAGTCTGATTTGATTGATTTGTGGTGGGACCCAGGAATCCATAATGTAAAACACCACACAGTTGGCTCTAAAGTACAGCCAGGGATGAGGGGTAAGAACCACAGCTCTTACTCGTCCTGTCTGTGCTCTTTGTGATTAATTACACTGGGGCAGGCCAGGTTCTAGGATTGCTATTACTGTAGGTGGAAGGGGGGCCTAAGGTGGGGTAGCATCTTAAGGTCATTCCACAGCCCAGCCAATGTAGAAAAGTTGAGCTGGTAGTGGACAGGAAATTTAAGGGAGGGTCTGCTGAGAGGGTAAGAGCCCTGGGGAGGGCACAGCATGGAATTAGTTTGAGAGACACAGTGTCATCCCTCAAGGAGTGATGGTGTTCTGAGAAGGGGATGCAAAATCAAATCACCAGAGAGAGCAGGCGTGTACCTAAATGACTGAAACAGATAAGGTAGGAGTTGCAGCAATCTGCCTATAGCATGCCTAAGCTAACGGCCCCCAAGCATAAGTCACCTTCAGCCAACTGTGGCCCTACAGCAGTGCAAGGCCCAGAGTGGTCAGATTTATGGATTTCTTAACAGGATCCATAAGATGATATTTTCATATGACATCTCCCAATACATAATTGATATAAAAAAAGTTTTAAAGCAGTGTGTGGGTCAAACTAAACCTATCTGTGGACTGCAGATTGTACCCCATTTTAAAAGACAGAATAACTGATGGGCTAGGAAGTATCCCAGACCTGGATCCCTAGGCTCATTTGGGCTTAGTTTCTGCACACTTCCCACACTTCCATGCCACGGACCATTGTGTATTCCCACCCTCCAAAGTACAGCTTTCTAGGTAGCAGAGGGTCATTTGAAACTTTGTTAGTGAGATAACAATAATTGCATATTCAGTCATCTCGAAGTATTTGCTGCTTAGTGTTTGCAGGCTCTGTTCTAGGCACTGGGGCAACAGCAGTAAAAAATGCAGGTGGAACGTACAGTCTAGTGGGGAGTCAGAAAATAAAAATGAATAACGCATGCATTATCTAGAGTTAAAGGGATACAGTAAAGCAGGAGGGGGAATAAGAACCTGAGTAAGAAGTTGGAATTTTACATAGAATGGCCAGGAAAGTCCTCACTGTGTGCAGCAGTCAGTCATCTGAGTCATTGATCCACTCATCAGATCCTCCACTGCCCTGTGAGATGAGCACTGTGTTTTGTTTTTTATAATTTTATTTATTTATTTCCCCAAAGCCCCAGTAGATAGTCATATGTCATAGTTGCACATCCTTCTAGTTGCTGCATGTGGGACGTGGCCCCAGCATGGCCGGAGAAGTGGTGCGTTGATGCGTGCCCGGGATCTGAACCCGGGCCGCCAGCAGCAGAGCGCACGCGCTTAACCGCTAAGCCACAGGGCCGGCCCGAAACGAGGACTGTTATTCTCAGGTCAGGCCAAGAGGTTAACTGATTTGCCTAAGGGTACAGTAGTTGGGGACAGGTGAGTTCCAAATCCAGGCAGTGTGGTTGGAGTCCATGCTCTTTACCCATCCACTTCCATTCCTCAGGCCTGAGCAGGGCAGTGGCAATGTGAGGGAGGGGAGTGAGGGAGTCTTGCTATGAAGTATACCTATTGGTGAGTTATTTACCACCCTAGAGGCTCAGCTGCTTCAAGTAGAACATAAATGCTTAGACCAAGTAGTCGCTGAAACTCTTCAAACTCAGCAAGGTGATTTTTTTTTTTATTTGGTGAAGAAGATTAGCCCTGAGCTAACATCTGTTGCCAATCCTCTTTTTGCTGAGGAATATTAGGAGGTTAGCCCTGGGCTAACATCCATGCCCATCTTCCTCTACTTTATATGTGGGACACCACCACAGCATGGGTTGATAAGTGGTGTGTAGGTCTGCGCCCAGGATCTGAACTTGTGAACTCCGGGCCACCGAATTGGAGCACGTGAACTTGACCACTATGCCACCAGGCTGGCCCCAAGATGATTATTTTTTACTGTTTGGTTTTGTGTGTGTGTGTGTGTGTGTGTGAGGTCTTCCTCTTCTCCCTGCCTAAATTTAAACCTCCCAATGTGAAGGGATTTCTGTTTTGTTTTGCTTTTATCTCCCATAGTAGCCAGTCTAGGATGTTGATAGCAATAGGTGCACAAATGATGCTGGCTGGATAGAGTGAGGAGAACAATGGTCTTTGAACCCTTGGCACGAAGGTCATGTAGAGGAGGAAAAAAATATTTTTTCCTCTACCTAGCTTGGGTTCATTGGCTGGGGCCCTGTAAATTAGATGGACAAAAGACAGATTCACGAGAAAAACAAAGAAGTTTATTAACATGTGCATCCTGCATACACATGGGAGCACTCAGTGATGAGTAACTCAAAGGGGTGATTAGAACTTGGGCTCACATAGCATCTTAATGAAAGAACAATAACCTTTTAGAGAAGTGACAAGACAAAGGAAAAGGACTTTCAGTGTCTAGGACAGCAAATGGTGGGAAGGTAAATCTATGGGGGAACTAATGGACAATGAGGGCTAGTTGGTAAAGATTCCTCTGGGGCCCATCTCTAGGCTGGTAAGGGTCTAGAGTTGTCTGGTGATTAACTTCTATTCCTCCTGGTAGAGAGGGAAGGGGGGACACCTTTACAAATTTATGATCTGCTTTTAGGAAAGTGGAGGAGAGCAGAGAGCGTTTCTTGTCTGCTGCTTAATTTCCTTCAGCTCAAAATAATCCTGATGCCAAAATGGCCTATTTTGGAGTGTCATGTTCTGCTGCCCTTCATTTGCAATCCAAAGTAGGGTCTAGAAATCTTCTCTACCTCCCTCAAAGAAGCCTTTTGATCCCTATCCCGATCTGTGAGCAAGGCGGACTCCTGGATGAGCAGGGGTATGTTTTGTGTTGAAGGCGTTCGTGGCGTTCAGGGACGTGGCTGTGGACTTCACCCAGGAGGAGTGGAGGTTGCTGAGCCCTGCCCAGAGGACCCTGCACAGGGAAGTGATGCTGGAGACCTACAACCACCTGGTCTCGCTGGGTAAGGATGGCTTCGTTAGCGCTTAAAGTCAGCTCCGCAGAGTGTTTTCTACACGTTGCTAGGAAAGGCCACCCATGAAGCAGCTTTGTCCTAGTGTTGGGCTTAAAAACAATAATTTACCTTTTTCCTCAGGGCAAATCCGGATTTGGTGTTGTGTAAAGCAGATAGATTTATTCATGTTGTGTATGACACTGCATTTCCAGGCCTCTTTCCCAAGGCTGGGGCTCTCTTTTTACTTTATCTTGCTCCAAACCCAGGAGATTTTCATTCACCAAGTGTTAATATGCTGTTTTTCTGATTGGAGTCACCTTTTCTTACTCAACCCTTCTACTGCAGAGTTCACTATTCATAGGTCCTTTGTACCACCCTCCGGGTTTCCCTCCCCATGTTGGCTCTGAGTTCTGGAATGCCCCTTGAGCCATAACCAAGGGTCTCTTGTTTTCTTTTTCTATGAGCAGAAATTCCGCTTTCCAAACCAAAACTCATTTCTCAGCTGGAGCAAGGGGAAGAGCCCTGGGTAGAGGAGAGACAACATCCGCTGGGCCTCCGTCCAGGTGAGTGTGACGGAGGGTAGACAGGACACTCTGCAGCTGGGCAGATAGGGAAGGAGGAGGCATCTCTCAGGTACTGGGAGGAAGCTCTTCTCCAGGCCTCTCAGGTCCCTGGTAGGGCTGCCTGGCGTGACCTCCCTTCCAGAATATCATCTTTAGTTGAGAGAGGGACTTTCCTGGTTTCCTTGTCTCTTTCCTCCACTAGGAAGCCTCCCTTCCTCTCACTTGGCTTGCCTTCTCCATCATGCTCAGTCTTTTCTCATTCATGGGCTCTCTCTCTCCTCTTGATCTTAAAAACTGCACCTACCACATGAGCGTTGTCAGCTACCCTTTTAGATACTTTCCAGTTTCTCTTAGGCTAAGCATAATTGATTATCTCCACCTTTCTAGTTCCTATAATTTAAAAAAATTATTACTCAATAATTACTGTTACAGAAAGCTATGAATAATAATAAAACATGTACTCATGTGCCAACATCCCAGCTTAAGAAATAAAACATTACTTAAACAGTTGAAGCCCCCATTTCCCCTTCCCAGATTGTATCTTACACATCATCTTTATCCATTCATCCGTTGATGGGCAGTTGGGTTGCTTCCAAGTCTTGGCTATTGTGAATAATGCTGCAGTGAACATAGGGGTGCATATATCTTTTCAAATTAGTGTTTTCATGTTCTCTGGGTAAGTACCCAGAAGTGGAATAGCTGGATCATATGGTAGTTCTATTTTTAATTTTTTGAGAAATCTCCATACT